AATGATCATCTATCCTATGATATTTGTTGGAAATTTGGTTGAATCGGACTAACCAAATCAAACCGGTTTTGGGTTGGACCGACCAACCGGTTTGGTATTAGACCGACCGAACCGATATTCTAATTCCGTGAAGGGACACATCCCTTTGGCCTAGTGGCGGTTGCATTATTTTATGGATAAGGATAACCTTATGGATAGAGGCAACCCTTCATATGGATAAGGATAACCTTTCATATGGATAGTGGCAACCTTTCATATGGATAAAGGCAACCTTTCGTATGGATAAAGGCAACCTTTCATGAAACAATGCATGGATTCGGCCCCTATAAATATGTGTGGGGTGGATGATGCCAAATACCATCAAACATATTCTTCTTCTTTCTTCCAAAAATTTCTAAGTATGCTTTAGTGTTTTTGAGCCTGGAACCTAAAGTGGTGATAGTTTTATCCTCGGGAGAAATTTCCTGTAACCCTAGGCTTGTTGAGGGTGGAAATATTCTTTTCGGAAAGTGAACGTAGTTCACGACTCTATCATAATCCTAGTCACCCGATCTCGGGCTATCGTACGTATACCCTCGTCCCTAAAAGTCCCAACAATATTTACTATCTCGAATAAGCTAAGTCAACATGACTTTGAACATCAGAATCCCAAAACGGGAAAATTCCTTTCCTTGACCTAATTTTGCAAATATTGTTCATCAGGGGATCTTTTCAATGGCTAATCAAGTGTGCGTGTCCAAGAGTATTCTTTTCCCCAGCCCAATCCTTCATTTACTTCCGTTTGGGCGACTGAACCTTTCCTATAACTAGGGCTATTGTTCAACACGGTGAGATGCATGTCCCACCAAGCAAAAAGTGTACGTACTGACTGACCCAGTTCAATGGCCTCATTCGCCACGGCTCTAAAAGAAGGAAAGGGTCAGCTTGGCCCCTGGCCAAAGCATAACGTACTATGCTTCAAATTGTACGTGTCCACTGTCCAGTAGTTAGTTACGAGGGTCTCGTTGTCTAGTCAGTGAGTCGGCGTCTAGGAATGAAGTGTTCGGTTTGGAGCTGCAAGGTGGTCCACGATAGAATTCTGGGACAACATTCCCGATTTAAGTTGAATTAGGGTTAGGTCGAATGGAAAATATATATTATATATACCTTCTCAATCCCTATAATCTGTATCTCCTAAAGTATAGTGAAAATAGTTTCTCTTGTCTGTGAATTAACTAAAATTGTGTTAATTATATATGAACCTATATGCTCTTTGCTTTCTTGCCTAATTTTCCATTAAGTTTTAACAGTTACACCGGCCCTAATCATGCATACTCTAAAGTCTAAACTCTAAAGACTCATAAGTAGTCGGCAGCCGTCACAACTCCACATCTTATCATGTGATCAATCGCTCTTGGCGGTCCTGTGAATACGTGTTGTTGTGATTGAGGGCGACACTCCACTTCTGAAATCATAGCCTTTCTCCCCTTTTGTTCCCGCTTTTGAATTAGTGGCTAGGCGCGTTTCCGTTTTCTTTTCTTTGTCAAAAAATAAAAATAAAAATGAAGGAATCTTTGGTGTAAGAAGTCTAAGTCTTTCTCATTAAAGAATGAGGCTTCTATAGCTGCCATAGTTTATTAACATCCCCCGCGGTTAGAAGCATGATATGGTACATTAACCTCAACACACATTCCTCGAAACCCCCCTGAAATTGCCACCTTAACTTCATCTCCCTTCACTAACTACTTCCCAAACTTGCTTAAGTACTATTACCTTCTTCCTAAACATTTCCCCCTAGCTCTCCTCTCACCCACAACTCGACAACCAAATAAAAGACCCGCCAACCATGATGCTAATCAAGAAGAGAAGGGAAATGGAAGCCCTAAAGCTCTGGACCAACCTCGGCTCCTCGCTGATCGCCCTGATGGCCGCCTGGACAATGCTCGAAAAATACCTCCCGGAGCAACTCCGCGGCATCTTCACCCGACACACCCAAAAGCTCCTCACCTTCCTCAACCCCTACATCAAAATCCGCTTCCCCGAACTCTCCGGAACCAGCCGGTACCGCCGCAGCGAGGCCTACGTCATGATCCATGCCTACCTAACCGCCCACACCTCCCCGGCGGCGAAATCCCTCAAGGCGTCCGACACCTCGAAAGACGGGCGCTCCCTCGTCCTCTCGATGGACGAGGACGAGGAAGTGTCCCACGTGTTTCGCGGGGCGAAGGTGTGGTGGGCCTCGAGGAAGACGTCGCCGAAGGCCCAGTCGATCAGTCTTTACCCGGAGGACGACGAGAAGAGGTTCTACGTGCTGACTTTTCACAAGAGGGATAGGGAGTTGGTTGTTGGGGAGTACATGGGACACGTGTTGGGCGAAGGGAGGGCGATCGTGGCGGGTAATAGGCAGAGGAAGCTTTACTCGAATAACCCGACCCGGAACTGGTGCGGGTGGAGCTCCGTGGCGTTTGAGCACCCGGCGAGCTTTGACACGCTGGCGATGCCGATGAAGGTTAAAGAAGGGATTAAGAAGGATTTGGTTAAGTTTAGTCAGGGGAAGAGCTATTACGCTAAGATTGGCAAACCATGGAAGCGAGGGTATGTATTAATTAATTATTATTCCGGCAATATTGTTTTTTAAATTACATTTTTAAAATAACAAACAATAGATATTGATGTTCAACTTATTTCCTTATGTACTTCAATAATCTTCTCTCTGGGATTTTTAGTAGTCTCTCTCAACTCTCAAGTGGTTGATTTGTTGAATTCTATACATAGATCTAGTTGACTTGCTGTTTTCATTTTTCATTAGAATAAGCATTATTTATTTATTTATTTATTTATTAGCACCAATTTCAAGTTCTCAACAAAAAAACAAATTGATTAGTTTCAACTTGCAAATTGAGTTATTGAAGGTTAAGTCCATGTTTTGTCAACTGTAGGAGTACTTGATCGATTTCGATACAATTTTATCACGATTTTGCTATATTATATGATTATATCATGATTGAGAAATTATGATGATTTTAATTAGATTGTTTTTTAATTTTTTACTTTATTGTATTATTTGCCAATGATTCAATCTTCAGTTTCATCAATGATTTGCATAACTTTTTCCAAGGCTGGAACAATCATTAATTATATTAGTAAGACATTATTTAATTTATTTTTGTATGCTTTGTTTTCTAATCCAATAGGTACCTTCTCTATGGTCCTCCGGGAACCGGAAAGTCAACAATGATAGCTGCGATAGCCAACTTCTTGAACTATGACATCTACAATCTCGAGCTGACTACCGTAAAGGACAACTCTGAGCTCATAAAGCTACTCCTAGAGACGACGGGAAAGTCCATCATCGTGATCGAGGACATCGACTGCTCGCTCGATCTCACCGGACAAAGAAAGTCTGATAAGAAGAAGGACAATGAAGACGACTCCGACTCTGATGATGATTCAGGTGGAAAGAGCAATAGCGTTATTTCCAAAACCTTGAAGGAAAAAGAGAAAGAGAACAAAAGTGACAGTAGAGTCACGTTGTCGGGTCTTCTGAACTTCATCGATGGGATATGGTCGGCTTGTGGAGGGGAACGAATCATCGTGTTCACGACCAACTACGTCGACAAGCTCGACCCTGCGTTAATAAGGAGAGGAAGGATGGACATGCACATCGAGATGTCGTACTGTTGCTTCGAGGCGTTTAAGGTTCTAGCCAAGAACTACTTGGACATAGAAGAACATAGTTTGTTTGGTAGAGTTAAGGAGTTGTTGGGAGAGATTAAGATGACTCCCGCCAATGTTGCAGAGAATTTACTACCAAAGTCGGTCGAGGATAGTGAGGAGAAGTGTTTGAGGAACTTAGTCAAAGCACTTGAGAAGGTTAAGGAGGAGGAAGATGGGAAGTCGAAGATCGAGAAAAAGGAGAAACAATGGCAATGGATTAAGAGTGTCCTCGGTTAGAATTTGAAAGTCTTGAATTCAAAATTTATATTTATATAGCTAGGATCATTTTGACCCATTAGCATGTGGATTGTTAGAGGAGATACTTCTTGTGTGGTATATGTTTTGTTTGGCTTCGTATATAATCATATATATTTCCGTATAAACATCCTATTATTTGTTCGAAATAGTTAATCATTCGTTACACACTATTAATTTCTGTCTTGTTTCATAAAAAATACAATATTCAACCTCTATTATCCAAGAAATCTACTCTTCACTTCTAAACTTCTAACGGCACATCACATCTACTTCAAACGAACCACAATCCAAATATTCTTTGTTTTGTGTAGAAAAAGATGAAACTGTTTTAGGAATTGACTTGTCTGGTTGCGTTGCTCTCAACAACTACGCGGTAAAGAGCAATGGACAGACAAAAGAATAAATAACTCAACTTTCTTTTTTGTTGTCATCCAAAAGAACAAATGCAAAGTTGGTCTCCTTCTACATCTTTTTTTTAATGGTTGTCTCCTAGATCTCTATACCTTATCTTATATTATCTTTTGTCTACTGTACCATGCATGGTCGGTTTTTCTTTTAGTGACCCCAAATTAATCATTCTTTCTTAAAGCAGATCAAAAAGACAAAAACATTATAAAGGATAACAAGTAAAAAGAAATATATATTAATGAAATATTTTTTTATAATGGTAAAATATTTATTTACAAGTACGCTGCTGATTCTTTTGCGCATATAGAGTGGAGGGTGGGAAATGAAAGGCCAGAGGCTAAAAAAACACGAGTGGAACACAGCTATATATGTACAATAATTATCGTAATACTGCAAATTAATAATTATGTTAATATGATGCACTAAGTACTGTTGTTAGCATCCTATTTACTCCTCTACTCTACATCTATATAAAAATTCCGTTCTTCAAATAATTAAAAAATACTCAAAAATAAGTCTCACATCATACCTTAATACACGCTAGCAAACCATTTCCCAAGTTAGGACCCCAGGTCCTTAAATAATTGTCATGACCAGTCAAAGTCATATTATTATACATAACAGACTTTGTCGTTGTTGGCCACTAATGTAAAGCTTAATTAATTCATCATCTCTCTCTATACCTACCAAAGAAGAATAAAACAAAGGCATAAGAAATTTAACTTTAGTCCTCAAGCCATGTCTTCACCATTTTCTTCTTCCTCTAGCTAGTACTAATTGCTCTTCATCCACTTCTTCTTCGATTGATCCCATGGCGGCCTCTTCCGGCAGCTGCGTGTACTACGGGCCATGGGAGTACGACGTGTTCCTGTGCTTCCGTGGCGAGACGCGTGGCTCCTTCACCAGCCACGTCATGGCCGCGCTCTCGGACAAGAAGATCCGGACCTTCATCGACACCATGCTGGGCAAAGGTGAGAGCATAGCAGAGCTTCTTTCCGTCCTCAAAAGATCGGCGGTGTCGGTGATTATATTCTCCGAGAGGTTCGCCGACTCGCCGTGGTGCCTCGATGAGGTGGCCACCATCTCCCGGAGCATGAAGGAGTTCGGCCACCGTGTCATCCCGGTTTTCTACAACGTCGACCCGTCGGAGGTCGACGGCGACACCGGAAGCTACGCCGCCATGATCGAGAAGCACTCCGGCGGCCGGTACGGTGACCCGAAGGTGAAGTTGAAGTGGAGGGATGCGTTGAAGGAGATCGTTGATAAGGCCGGCCTCACTTCTCACGAGATCAGGTGCGTAATTAATTACCTACTAATTATTTTCTTCGAATAATTGACTGTGGATTAAAGTAGTAATTAACTAATTATAAGGAAAAAGTAAAGTTAGAGCATCTCCGACAACGTGCCAACCTTTTCAAATCACATTACTTTGCTAGATAGGGACCACTTGTCAATAAAGTAGCAATAGTACATAATGTATCTTCTAGCACATGGATGTCTTTAGAGAGGCATGTGTTTTCCTGACTTTTTCTTTTTAACATAGGTGTTTACCTGGCTTAATTGTTAATTATGAAAAATACAATTCGTAAAATTTAAATTTAATTCATAAAATAAAATTTAATTTTCTTAGTATTTGAGTATAGGTAAAAACTCGCACATGGAAGTCTATATAGGCGTGTCTTTTCCTAGTTTAAATCGAACTGAAAATCAATAAGCTATTTTAATGGATTCATTTCTTGAAATTGAAAAATCAATAAAAACAAAAAACATCTTAAAAAAGAAGAAATAGGGTATCTAAAGGATAACATAGCAAAACTTGTTTGATTTCTTGAAACCGAACTGATATCATAAAGATATCTTAATAATTTTTTATTAACATAAACCATTAAATCTTGTTTCGATTTTTTGTTCTCTTTATCTTGTATTGAGTAAAAAACAACACTTGAAATTGCCATTTATATGTATATTTTATTATTGAACTTACATATATTTCTTTGAGTATATTCATATGTACAGGTTAGACTCGCAATTAATAAAGGCCATTGTAGACAACGTGCTGAAAGAGTTAATCAACATGTCTCCAAGCCTCGAGCCCAAAAATTTAGTGGGCATTGATTCTCGTGTGTGGGAGGTGGAGCGATTGCTAGATGTCAACCGCTCCGACGACATTCGAATTGTCGGGCTCTGGGGGATGCCCGGTATTGGCAAGACCACTCTAGCTCGAGCCTTATACAGACGACTTACCAATTTGTCCAAAGAAGATGGTTACAAGCACTATTTTGTCCCGAACATCAACGCCAAATGGAAAGGACAACGAGATGGCTTGGAAGGACTACAAAAGGAGCTTTATTCAAACCTCCTCTCCGAGCAGGACCAAAACATCACCAGTCGAGACTTGGAAACAAGTTATCGCAGGGCTCGACTGTTCCGGTTGAAGGTTTTCATTGTCCTGGACGACGTTGAAGTTTTGTCCCAACTAGAAAGCTTACTCCTCGGTGATGTGTTGAATCTCACGAAGTTGTTTGCACTAGGGAGCAGAATTATCGTCACAACGAGAAACAGGAAAGTGCTTGAAGTTGCAATGGCTAGGATATACCATGTGGAGCAGCTTAGCCCTCAAGAGTCGCTTCGATTGTTCAGCATGTACTCTTTTAGGCAAGAGACTCCACCAACCAGTAGAAGGTAAAATCTTCAAATTCGCTCATGTTTAACTAGTTCAAGCCATTATAAAATTGCTAACCTGATTATGTCCTAGTACTAATATTTTTTAACAGATACCAGTCAGTTACAGCAGTGGGATATTGCCAAGGAAACCCTTTGGCTCTTAGGGTCTTAGGGTGCACACTCTTTAGGAAGAGCGAGAGTTACTGGCAAAGTTTCTTGGATGGGTTGAGGAAGAATCCAAAGCGGGAGATTCACGATGTTCTAAGGAGGAGCTACGATGAGCTCGGAGGAGATGAGAAGAGGATGTTTCTTGACATTGCTTGTTTCTTTCGAAGGAATTACTCCAAGTCACATTTGATTAAGATGATGGCATGTAGCTATTACTCAGCTTATAGTCGAGTGGAGGATCTTATTGATAAGGCATTATTGATATGTGAACACCAGTCCAATAGCAACGACGACGAGTTGATCGTTGAGGTTCATGATTTGCTACACGAAATGGCTTGGAACATTATTAGTGAGGAATCCGATCTTGGGAACCGCAGTCGTCTTGAGAATGCAGAGGACGTCCGCAAGTTACTCACTGCACGGAAGGTACATACTACTTCTCAATTTCGATTTCACTTAACAATAGTAAACCATTCTTTTCATGCACATTTGCTAATTAGGGAGCGAGAGCTACAGAAGGCATAAACTTGGACTTGTCAAAAGCAGAAGAGATGCACTTGGGATCCGATGCATTTTTGGGGATGGATCGACTTAGATTTCTCAAATTCTCATGGCCAGATTCTTCGTCGTCTTCATCTAAAAACAATGCACGTACTTGCAAGATCCATCTTTCGAAATCTGGCCTAGACTCACTCCCTCATGAGTTAAGGATGCTATGGTGGGATGGATTTCCTTCGTCATCTTTGCCTTCAAACTTTTCTCCTAACAGTTTGGTTGAACTTTGTATTCGCCATAGCCCTCTTGCACAATGTTGGGATGGAGTTCAGGTACTAACTTCTCATCTTTTACCTCTCAATTTCCAACAAGTACTAGCTATATCTCATCAATAATGATAATTCACTATAAGCAAAAGAGCTTTTGGTCTCATTAAAAAAAGCACTTTTGGTGTTTGGCCTCCTTTTCTCACTCGTTGGCTCCACTTTTCTTTCTTGTTTCTTTTTGCACTTGTGGGTGTTCGGCCTCTTTTTCTAGTCTTTGGTTTGGAGGGTGGTTGTTTGCTCTATATATAATTGACACTTTTCTAAATAGATGTGGTCAATATTATTAAGAAAAACTTTTGGTGAACCCTTGTTTGGTTGCAAAATGCTTTTCTTTTTCTGTTGACGTCGTAGTGGTTGTGTATTTGCATCAAGAAAATTGAATACTTATTCTTTCCTATGCAATATTGTTTTACAGGACTTTGTGAATTTGAGGTGGTTTGACCTATCTTATTGTGCCAACCTCATCATCGTCCCTGATCTATCGAAAGCCACACATCTGGAATCTCTCAAACTCACAGGATGCAAGACCATAGTTGAGCTACCCTCCTTTGTCGAATACCTAGACAAGTTAACCTTGCTAGACCTCGGAGCCTGCGAAAACCTAGAGATCCTCCCACCTAAACTAGACTCCAAACACCTCAAACACGTAATTCTCTACGATTGCAGGAAAATCAACCAATGCCCCGAGTTCACAAGCAACTGGGACACCCTAGACTTGCGTGGCACCCCAATCACAACCCTCCCTGTTGCAATCCACAAACTCAAAGAAGCCCGAAAGCTCAGCCTCCACGGTGAAAGCATAACCAGCTTGCCAGATGGATTCTCTGCATCCATCAAGGAGTTTCGACTGTGCCACACCGCCATACAAAAGATACTGCCAAGCGATCATCGTGATTTTCTTCTTCCGAGAATCTCTCGTTTGGAGCTGGTCGGGAGCTCGAACCTTGCCACTTTATCTAAAAGCCTCTGGAAAATGGTGACAAAAGAGCTCCTCATCATGGACTCCCAAATGTTGAAAACAATTCCAGAAATCTCGGTCGTCGACTCGAGCTTGAAGGTGCTTGTAGTAGAAGACTGCAGAGCTTTCAGGCGCCTTCCTTCCAGCATCGGCAACCTCAAGTCGTTGGAGGTACTAGCCTTGATTGGTGCAGCTATCAGAATGTTGCCTTCGTCTGTACAAGAACTGGACCAGCTTCGCACGCTGGACTTGACTAATTGCAAAATGTTGGAGTCTATACCCGGTGCGATCAGCAGGCTCGATCGCCTCTCTCAACTCTATCTACTGGGCTGCGAGAGCCTTCGTTCTTTGCCCGAACTTCCTCTCAATGTGAAGCTTTTAGTCGCCAGTAATTGCAAGTCGTTGCAAACAGTTTCGAGCAACAACTTTAGCAAGCTCCATTTCTTGAATCTCAACTTGGTGGGTTGTCTCCAGTTAGACCGCAAGTTGCTCCGACGAATGCTGGCGAAATTGCCGCTTCAGGATGTCTCTCAACGAACTCAGGTATGTACATATATATATATATAGTATGCCTAGCTAAATGTTTGGTTAATTGTCTTTATGCTTTGGTTTACGCTGACATTGAATTGGTCGCAAAAAGTTATTTTCGGTGGCTAATGTTTGTGAAATGGTGTTGTTGTCATTAAAGTATGGTGGTGGAGTGGGTGAGATACCTCCGTCAACGGTATTATACCCAGGGAGCGAGCTTCCAGAATGGTTCCCGAATAAAAGCATGGGACATTTCGTGACGGTTCCTCTGCCGAGGAACTGCAAGAGACTGAAGCTATTTGCGTTCGCTGTAGTCTATTCTCTGGAGCCGCCTGTTTCCGGCGACGAAGAGAAGACCGATATGCACATGCACATTTCAAGCGAGTGCTTCACGAAACCCGGCTGTGGTGGCGGCCACGGGTGTGGGAGCGATGAATTAGTTGGTGGCGGTGGCTTGAGTAGTAGTACTAATAATGCTGTGGCGTCGTGGAATATATGTATGAATGTGATGGGAAGCTTCAACGGCGGTGTGGCCACAGACCATGTCTTTCTGTGGCTTCACCATAGAGCTGGAGAAGATCGAGAGGAAGAGGAGGAAGGGAAATTAGCTTGGTATCTGAAACATTCCGGACGAGACGTTTCGTTCCGTTTCAGCCTTCAACTGAAACGTGGAGAGATGAAGCCCTGCCAGATCAAGAGATGTGGCGTTTCCCTTGTGTTTCATACTAATTTTGGAAATCTTTGATTATTACATCGATAATTGTGTTGGAATGTTGATAATAATTGACCCCTTAGTGCTAGCTTGAAGATCATCTGTGATTTAAAGTTCCATTTAGCTATAATGGGTACACAATTGAGGTCTGTGTGTATGGACATGAAGTTCTCATGTATGTTTTGTTTAAGCGGAGAGGCCTTGCGGTTAGGTTAGTGACTTAAAATTGTATGTGGTATAAGATTAATTCTCGTAGTTCTTATATATATAACTTTCTTTGATATGAGGTTTTGACGTTGTAGACGTTATACGAATTTTGACAGTAAGGATTTCGCCAGAGACAAGTGTTTTTTGTTAGGATGATATAGAGTTGTTGCACTATCGTTGTAGATACAACTCTAACTAATCAACCACGACTAATTGACTCACTTTTGTACGTTAATGATGGCGAAATGCCGTGTTACGTCGCTCTCGGCTCTAACTAAGCTTGACTTAGATCGCACGCTACATACGCTAGTGAGAATTTAGAACCAAAAGTGCACCTCACGTAGACCTGTCTCATATATTTAATTTAAGACATTTCTCAAGTCTTTTCGTTTTTTATTCGATTTATTCTGTCCTTTTCTTACTTCTTTTCCGAATTGATTCCGGGAAGCGTCGTGTTGGAAAGAAACAAAATCAGCAAATTACCCAGATGGCCGGAGATATATATACCAGTTCAAAGTCCGGCCGGGTGAAGACTCGAGTATGGCCGAGATTGGAATTTTGGAGCTTCGGCCGGGTCAGGGTCAAAGACTCCTATTGCCATTGGTTCAGTTGATTATTCTTCAAAGAATTAATCATTTTTTCTTCTTTCCATCTATATCAACAGTGATTACATGTGGGCATCTGAGTGAGGAGACTAATCAGACATCCAGTTTCATTGTATTTCTAGTTCCAACTCTAGTTTCATCTATTAGTTACTCTATTATTGTCATTTGTCAGGAAATTGAAATTACCAAATACGTACAAGTACAATACAATCTGGATGGCTTAACCGTACCAAGATCGAATAGATGACCTTTGACTACTAGGGTATATTTTCCCACAACCAAACATGTCATAATCTTATCACTCGAATCAGCTGAGCGTTTTAGTACCTTTTTATTTTATTACCAAACCAAAGTCATAATTTATCATATTAGGGGTGGGGCCGTGGGGATTAGAAAATGACTTAGTCGTATGTAATATTCATAAACCCACTACTATATATATTTGAAGTTAATTGATTAATTAGCTGGATTCCATTCCACCCGCTTTCCCTCCGTTAAAGCTCCCGGAACTGAAAGTGATCGAGAATATAGCATAGATAAATGGCTTCAATTACTTCTTCTTCTTCTTCTTCTTTCAGTGGTAGCTGCGTGTACTACGGGCCATGGGAGTACGACGTGTTCCTGTGCTTCCGCGGCGAGACGCGTGGCTCCTTCACCAGCCACGTCATGGCCGCGCTGTCGGACAAGAAGATCCGGACCTTCATCGACACCATGCTCGGCAAAGGTGAGAGCATAGCGGAGCTTCTTTCCGTTTTGAAGCGGTCGGCGGTATCGGTGATTATATTCTCCGAGAGGTTCGCCGACTCGCCGTGGTGCCTCGACGAGGTGGCCACCATCGCCCGGAGCATGAAGGAGTTCGGCCACCGTGTCATCCCCGTTTTCTACAACGTTGACCCGTCGGAGGTCGACGGCGACACCGGGAGCTACGCCGCCATGATCGAGAAGCACGACGTCGCCGGTCCGAAGGCGAAGTTGAAGTGGAGGAATGCGCTCAAGGAAGTCGTCGATAAGGCCGGCCTTACTTCCCACGAGTTTAGGTGCGTAATTACCTAATTTATCGAAAATTAAATTTATGAAATTACCATTTCAACGTAAATTAAGGGTTGGTTAATCGATAAAGGAAAAAGGTTGGTTTAAAATTTAAATATATCATTGGATGGATTTTTTCTTCCTCCGTAGGTGTTAGCTAGGTTGCTAATACTTAATTTAATGGGTAGATGTTAGGTTGCTAATACTTAATTTGTAACATGATGCTTAAATTAATTACAGTTAAGTTAATAATATGAATATTTTCTTTTGATAATTTTTATTCCCACACCTTGATAATAATTCATGTGGATTTAAAATGGGTTGAACACTCGAAATTAGTGAGCCACACACGTGTTGCGACGTGCTTTAATTCCTCGTCACATGTCTCACCACAAGTATCATGAAACAGATGACAAAATCCATATCATAAATACAACAACACCATACATACCATAACGTGGATTAGAACCTCAGCACACCACAAAATTCAGCATATATACAGGAAAAACTTAAACCAGTCTAACTTCCCCAAAGCATACCAAAAACCTTATAAAGCAGACAACGAGTTTCCTCAAATAAATCATAAATCTCATAAAGCATATCACAAATTTAGTAAAGCAGACCGCAAGTTTTTTAAAGCATATCACAAATTCTCCGAAACAGACTAAAAACTTCATAAAGAAGACTACAAGTTTATTATAGCAGTCCGGAAACCTCATAAAGCATACCACAATTTTTTTTAGCAAACCAAAAAACTTATAAAACATATCACATATTTTTTAAAAAAAATCATAAACCTCATAAACTTGAATCTATATGTAATTTAAAAAAAAAAAACCCTGCCAAACTTCTCTCCACGCCCTTTAATTATTAGTCCACTTGGCCCCTTCCCCTTTAATATACTCCATTTATAACACTATATCATCATATATAGAACATGCCTTTATTTAGTTTAAAATTATTGTCATCGTACCTGAAGGAAAAGTTCATAGTACAAATTTCCATGTGCAAGCATGAACAAAATATTATGTTATGTTGCGAGGAACTTATAGAGTTGTTTCGTAGTTGCAAACTTGCAATGTATTATAAATGCATATATTTTGAGAAAGCCAATATTTTATTTTCTTTTTAAAGGAAGGTTTGTTCTAACCCTTACCACAAGTAATATCTAATAATATGGTACTTTTTATATTTACCAAATAAAAGATATATGGATTCCCACTATTTCTACTATCAAGACATCCTAATTTTTTTTTCCTAAACAAGAAAAAAAGACATCCTAAATTTTGTCACAATCAATCAACTCATCCATATGTAAACACTATTCCTTAAGGCTCGCATTTACAAGTAGATTTTTCAATTTAACAATATCTAATCATTATAACCTCAAGTGGAGGTGGCAAATATATTCGACTAAGACCATCAACAACCATGAAATAGCCTACCTATTTCATTTGTGGCCCCTACTGTCACCTACACACTTTTTACAATTTCATTCTTTAACATCCATTTCATCTACATCCATGAAATCTATCTCCAATTTCATATGGTGGGCCCGATTCACATAAACAATATAACTAAATAATTTATGGGATTTCCTACGGTAACTTGAAGTAAGGTAACTTCAATTTTTTTACCTGCTATAGCAGGTTTCATAGGTCGTATTACGTAAAACACAATAGGCATTACGTAATGGTTACGTAACTTATGATAATCTTACGTAACAGTTGTAAAAGATCATTACGGAAGCCTTACGTAATAGAATGTGTCCTTACGTAATGAGTATTAACCTCGCGTTACGTAAAATGCAAAGTCATTACGGAAGTCTTACGTAACGCTACTGAATTAACTGTTACGTAAGAAATAAATGTCGTTTCGTAACCTTTACGTAATGGAAGGTCTTTTTACGTAATGAGTATTAACCTTGTGTTACGTAAAGTGTTAAGTCATTACGGAAGCCTTACGTAACGCTTCCGATTTAACTATTACGTAAGAAATAACTATCATTCCGTAACCTTTACGTAGTGAATGTGTATTTTACGTAACAGTTGTAAAATATCATTACGGAAGCCTTACGTAATAGAAGGTCTCTTTACGTAATGAGTATTAACGTCGTGTTACGTAAAAAGCTAAATTATTACGGAAGCCTTACGTAACCATTCTAATTCAATAAGAATTAAAAAAGGAAAGGTTAAATATGGAAAGACAACTAAATGTGAAAAAAGGAAAGAAAAAATTTAAAAAGGTAACTTGGACATGTATGACCGGCAACTCATGTTGCCCTTTATTTTTTTAGTTATTTTTTTTATTTTTTATTTCTTTAATCAATGGTTTAAAATAAGTGTGGTCAATTTTAACGGTTTAGATCTATGCAAGTTACCTAACTTGAAATTATACCCAAGTTACTGTAGGAGATCCCAATAATTTATACACTCTAACAAATTGAAATGGACCCACTTGCTACCCCACTTGCAATTTCATTTGCTTTTCCATCTAATGAAATATTTTATTATTGAAATGGGCTGCTACAACCATGAAATGGCAAATGACATTGCCATGTCACTTTGAAATAAAGAAGAGACAGCCGATGCAGCTGCTCTAATAGATTTCATGTGAATTTATGGACCCATGGGCCCATGAATTGGATTGAATGGATCAATGAATTTGTAGGATAGATTCACGAATTCAAAGTATGTTTAATTTCAACACCATTTGGCAAGGTTTATAAAGTTTAGGTACAAAAGTGTGATATATAAAGATGTTAGGGTTAGGAACTAAAATGTAGTTTGGATCAATTTTTTGGGTAAAATTATTAGGTACTAAAATGCAAGTATAGGTACTAAATAATATTCATTACCCACAAATCAGTTGGGCCAAATGATAGAACTCCGATTAGCCACCCTAACTTCGCATACTTCCCTCACTCTCTATTCGTATGCAGGTTGGACTCACAACTAATAAAGGCAATAGTCGACAATGTGATGAAAGAACTAGTCGAGATGTCCCCAAGTCTAAAACCCAAAAACTTAATCGGCATAGATTCTCGAGTATGGGAGGTAAAGAGATTGCTCGACATGAATCGATCCGACGACATTCGCATCATCGGACTTTGGGGAATGCCAGGTATCGGCAAGACCACTCTAGCCAGAGCCCTATACCAAAGACTCACAAATATCTCAAAAGAAGATGGTAGTAAACATTACTTCGTCCCAAACATCAATGCCAAGTGGAAAGGAGGGCAGGAGGACAACGACTTGGAAGGCCTCCAGAAGGAACTCTACTCCACACTCCTCTCTGAGCAAGACCAAAACATCACTTGTCGCGATTTGGATACTAGCTACCGTAGGGCTCGCCTTTCTCGCCTGAAAGTGTTCATTGTCCTTGATGATGTTGAATACTGGTCTCAGCTCGAGCAGTTATTGCTTGGAGATGTGTTGAACCTCGCGAAGTTGTTTGCCCTAGGGAGCAGAATTATCGTTACGACGAGGAATAGGAAAGTGTTGGAGTTTGCAATGGCTAGGATCTACCATGTGGAGAGGCTCAACCCTCAGGATTCTCTTCGTCTTTTCAGCCTATACTCTTTTAGACGAGAGTTACCGCCAGAGGACAGAAGGTATGTGTTATTCTTCAAACTTATGCGATTTTATTAATAGTGTGTTGGAATAGATTGAATCTGTTCGTTAAGCGTCACAGTTGACCATATAAGGAGTCTAATGCTACTTGGTATGAGTTTTAAACATCTAGTTTTGGGCTTGAGACCCTCTTTTGCTTATTCTTTTTAGGATAAAGAGAAGTGTAGTATAAAAATATTATAATACTATAATATTATAATATATCCTAATATTAGTGAATGTAGCTTGAAGACATAGTAAATCATGTAAATAACTATAACGTTTTATTTTCTCGATTTGTCGACGACTTGTTTGTTATTACATAGTGTTGGTATATATATCTTTCAGAACTATTTGTTACAATAATTTTTATATATTAAAGTTTTAGTACTCAAATCGATCTCTTAGATAAATTAACATGTGTTTTGAGTAGGTACCAATCGGTTACCGCAGTGGGATATTGCCAAGGGAACCCCCTTGCACTTAGGGTGTTGGGGTGTACGTTGTTCAGGAAGAGCAAGAATTATTGGCAGAGTTTTCTGGACGGATTAAGGAAGATTCCTAAACAGGAGATTCACGGTGTTTTGAGGAGAAGCTACGATGAGCTTGGAAGTGATGAGAAAAGGATGTTTCTTGACATTGCTTGCTTTTTCAGAAGGAATTATTCCAAGTCGCATTTGATTAAGATGATGGCGTGTAGCTATTACTCTGCGTACAGTCGAGTGGAGGACTTGATCGATAAGGCATTGTTGATATGCGATCACTCGTCTAGTGATAATGATGATGATGATGATGATGAGATGATTGAGGTTCATGATTTGTTGCACGAGACGGCTTGGATCATCATTGGAGAGGAAGCCGAGCTAGGAAACCGTAGTCGAATTGAGAATGCGGATGACGTGCGCAAGTTATTCACCACTTGGAAGGTAATCCTTACTTTCTAGTTTAATTTCTTTTAGCGTGCGTTTGGATACAATGATTGGAATTTGGTATTTGTGATTTGTGATTTGGATTTCCAAATATCAAATCATGTGTTTGGATATTAATTATATTTGGTATTTGGATTTGTGTCAAATTCATGGGTGATTTCAAAATACATGTCTAGTGTATTTTTTCTCAACTTCAAATACATTTCAACTAGTGATTTGAAATAGGGGTGGCTATACGGTCCGGTCTGGTTAAATTGGACCAAATTGATCCGGTCCCAGTCCGGTCTTTTCGAGAATATAAAGACCAAAGATTGGATTGGATACAATCTAGTCTTGATCCGGTCCGGTCTTGACCCGGTCTGGTCCCAATTTGATCTTGATTTTAGGTGTTGGGGGTCTCTTATCCGGGTTTTTTACCTCAAATCTAATCCCGAATATGAGATTGTATTGTTTGCTATCCGGTCACAGTCCGGCTTATACGGTCTGGTTTCGGGTAAAACCAAACCGTCCGAACCAAATCGCCAGCCCTAATTTGAAATACCTTCTAACAAAAGATTGGACCTATTTGTAAAAATGAAAAGTTTAGGTACTATAGTGTGAGGCAAAACATATAAAGGTACCAAAACGTAATTTTACCATCAAAATTTCAGGACCTTTTTGTAAATTTTAAAAGTTTAGGTACTAAATTGTAAGGAAAAATAAATTTGTGTACCAACTGTAATTTACCAAAATTTATAGTAAGTGACCAGAAAATTGAAAATTGAAAATTAAATAAAAAATCATAAAATTCAAAATACAAACAAATAACAAATGAGTATCCAAACAATGAATTTGAATTACATGTATTTGAAATACTAGTATTTCAAATATATCCATTTCAAATGCTAGTATTTCAAATACCTTACATTTGAAATACACTTATCCAAACGCACCCTTAGTAAATTGTATAAAATCCATACTTGAACTTTTTCCAACAATTAGGTTTACGACATAGTATTAAAGTCTTTGTTAATCGAGAGGTTTGTGTCTGAATATCGATGTTCCCAAATGTTAAGCACATGATACTTAGATTTGTGTAAACTTAAAGCTCATATGAGTTGGTTTCATTTGTGTGGACATATCAGTAAATGATATAAGGTCCATAATTAAACCTCTTCTAACAACCGAAGTTATTGGGACCAGTTGGTTTATGTCAAATTTTCTTTGAATTTTTTTTTTTTTTTATAAGGGTTCTTTGAATTTTTTTATTAGGGTACGAGGGCGACAGAAGGTGTAAACTTGGACCTTTCAAAATCAGAAGAGATGCATTTAGGATCAGATGCATTTGTTGGGATGGATCGTCTTAGATTTCTTAAATTCTCATGGCCAGAGTTGGCTTCATCATCATCGTCGTCTTCGAATCAACCGATACATCCATGCAAAATCCATCTGCCAGACAGTGGTCTGGACTTGCTTCCCCCCGAGTTAAGGATGTTGTGGTGGGATGGATATCCTTCAAAAAGTCTCCCATCAAAATTCTCTCCCCACAACCTCGTTGAACTTCGTATTCGACACAGCCCTCTAGTGCAAACTTGGGATGGAGTTCTGGTACGTATAACTTTTCTTACACCAACAACTTGGTTTACGTGGTTTACCAATACAACTTATGTGGTTCACCAATATCCATTTTTTTTTTGTCATTGGTAATCCTTTCTCATCCCACAAAATCTCATTTTCAATAAATAATCTCATGATTTATTATCTTCTGTTCTTTACATGTTATCGAAGTCTGTTTGATTGGAAACTCTTATCTACCATTACTTATGAATGTTTTTAATATGCTCGGCAGAAATTTGTGAACCTAAGGTGGTTCGACTTATCATATTGCGCAAATCTTGCAATCGTCCCAGATCTGTCGAAGGCCACACATCTGGAGTCACTCAAACTTACGGGATGCAAAAGCATAGTTGAGCTGCCTGCCTTCGTTGAATACCTTGACAAGTTAGTCTTATTAGACCTAGGGTATTGTGAAAACCTCGAGATCCTCCCGCAAAAACTTGGCTCCAAACAACTCAAGCACATCATCCTCTACAATTGTAGGAAGATCAACCAATGTCCACAGTTTGCCAGCAAATGGGAAACCTTAGACTTGCATGGCACCCCGGTTACAACATTGCCCGCTGCAATCCACAGGGTTAAAGAAGCCCGAAAGCTTTACCTTCATGGTAAAAACATCACCAATTTCCCGGAGTTCTCTACAAAGATAAAGGAGTTTCGTTTGTGTCACACGTTAATAGAAAAAATGCCACCAGAACATTGCAAATATCTTGATTCCCTCCCTAGGTTTGCTCAACTAGTGCTCATTGAAAATTCGAAGCTAGGTGTTCTCTCTAGAACCATATGGAAGTTGGTCTCGAGCAAGCTCATCATTGTTGGTTCTCCCATGCTCGAAACACTCCCAGAGCTTAGAAGTGGAGGTACGTGGAATTTAAACTCTCTCTGTTTGGTGCGAAATCGATTAATTACAATACAATTTTGCATATGTTGAGAGAATATATATATTAGGAAGTTGTAGAATATCATTCTATAAGGTTTAGCATTGTTTTTCTTCAACTCACCGACTCCAAAAACCTGGCTTTGTTATTGTCTGTGCTTACAGATTTGGCCGTTATGGACGGGTTAAGGCTGCTACTGGTGGAAAACTGCGCGGCTTTCAAGCGCGTACCCTCCAACATCAACCGTCTCAAGTCACTGGAAGCCCTAGCGTTAATCGGTGCAGCAATCAGAGTGTTGCCTTCATCGATACAAGAATTGGACCAACTTCGTACGTTGGACGTGTCTCATTGCAAGAGTTTAGAGTCCATTCCGAGTGGCATTAGTAGACTTCAGAAGCTAGCCCAAATTTACTTGGTGGGCTGCGAGAGCATTCGCTCTTTACCTCAACTTCCAGAGAATGTGAAGACTTTAGCAGCAGGGTGTTGCACGTCTTTACAAGCTGTTTCGAGCAACAACTTCGGGAAGCTTCGTTTTCGCCACCTCAGCTTCGTGAGTTGTCTCCAACTGGACCACAAGTTGCTTGGTCGGTTGCTGGCCAAATTGCCACTTCATGATGGGACGACGACGTCATTGCTTCAACCTCAGGTACATATATGCATGTGCACTCATAATTTTTTTTAATCAAGTTTCTTTGTCACGTGAGAAGAACATCTAATTCACGCATTTTTTTTCATTTATTCATGTCATATTTGTGTTATTCACGCCATATTGACATTATTCACGTAAGAATGTTGCTTATTCATGCAACCAATATTGTTTAGTCACGCAACCTAGTGTTTATTCACGCATATTGTTATTTATTCACGCCATTATAAAATTAAATTTTAGACGTTAAAATATATCAAAATGGATGTCATTGTGTAGATTATGATCAATGCAACATATTTTTACAGACTAATTGATAATCCAAATTTAATTCCATAAAATATAGCCAATACAAATTATTAGGGGGGGAAGTTTGAACTTTCATTTACGTGAATAACTTACACTCTTACGTGAATAAACATAGTATTACGTGAATACACACCAAATGGCGTGAATGAGCACAAAAAAACGTGAATAAATTGGTATTAGGTGGTTTGTCACCTAATGTCACATGAGATGTTTTCCTATTTTTTTTTTACGGATCGTGCATGTTATGTAAATACAATATTTTATCACATAAGATATACATATATAACAAATTGAAATTAAATTTATGTGATCAATAATATTATTATTTTTTTATGTTGTGACAGTATGGTAGGAGTGGTAGGGAGAGGCACCCTACAACAATCTTATATCCCGGGAGTGAAATTCCAGAATGGTTTCCTTATAAGAAGATGGGAGATTCGGTAACAGTTCCTTTGCCGAGAAACTGCAGGCGACTGAAGGGAATTGCGTTGGCAATCGTGTATTCTGTACGACCGTCCAGCAAGAATGCCGCCAAACAGACGACGGACATGCATATACACATGAAATGTGCATGTTTCTCCAACTCTGATGGTGGCCACGACGATAGCTCTAGTGCCGCTGTAACTTCATGGAATATTTGTATGAGCGATTTGCATGACTCTGTCTCTACAGATCATGTCTTTCTGTTTGTTGCTCATAAACCTGAGGCCACTCCATCATCTGTACAGAATGGAGATCAGGAAGAAGAAGAAGCTTGGTATGTGAAATACTCTGGGCTTGATGTTACATTTCGATTCTGCATTCATGCGAAACATGAAGATGTAAAGCATTGCAAAATCAAGCAATGTGGTGTGTCACTAACTTTTCATAGTTTTGGGAATCTTTGATTCTATGATGTCATGGAAACGATGATATATAGCACATGCTAGCTTTTCATACGCGTTTGTGTGTAGGTTGTCATGCTCATGCATGCAATGCAATGAATGATTTAGCATTGTTTCCGTTAATTTTTAATCATTGTTAGAGGTCTTAGATAGAATTTTATAGGGAGCGGATACCGTGCAAATTTTGTTATGCATAATCATCAAAAGTCTACACTTACTATTCATGGAAGTTCTCTAACTTTTCCCCAAGTAATTTTAATGGGCTATTTTTCTTGTTTTAATCCATATTTAAAAATGAAAAAACACATTAGTTATGCTTTTCAAAATTATATTCGCTTTGATATCATTTGGAGCAAAACAAATTGAGACATTTATTATCAATCCATATCATATAGTAATGATTGGTAGTACGTAAGATTATATTACGTGGTAAGTGTATCATGGTGGTATGAATATTTAAACTGCAAAATAGCAATATACATGATAGTAGGAATATACTAATGGTCATTTACCATATTTTATCACCATCTCCTACCAGTTACCACCTAATACTAAGATGGTATAAGATTGCATATTTGGCATTGAAATTGTTTTATCCAAAAATCTGTAGATCAAATAGATCAAGATAAACTCATCCCATCTTGGTAATGAGTTTCAAAATTTGAGTAAAAACGAAGGTGATACTAGAGTGCTATGGGTGGTACGAAAAAAATTCTCAAAATATATTGAAAATGAATGACATTAAGTTATTCACAACGAACTTGTTCTATCAGTAAAAAAAATTTGAAATCCAAGTGCCTTTTAATTTCACCTCTTAAAATCAATATATATGAAATGAGTTATGTACACCCTATGCTTATTCACCATGGACCAATTTTATACTATTTCCTTGCACCCTTTTCATCCAATTACTTGTTTATTCATATGAAGCACAACATGAAGTATACCCTTTACCTTTTTCCTAAACAACAAGATGAACATTTTTCTTGCTTTCCTTCGCATTCATCTCCATCTCCCCTACCCTTTCCCCATCCCCTTTATAAGTATACCACCGAGCACAAACCAAAAAATACCCCAAATTCAGGACACCTAACCCAGCCAACATGAAATAGAAGTAATCCAACTTCCCTTCATTCAAATCATCCGGCAACCAATCCCCACGCTTGCTCCCTGTCGTAATATGATGAACAAGAGACACCAAAAACCCACTAAGATAACTCGCAAGCGCATTCCCGGCAAAGAAGCACGCTTGAGCCACGCTCCTCATCCCCTCCGGGAACTGCTTGTAGAAAAACTCCACCTGCGCAATGTAGTTGAACCCTTCCGCCAGTCCAGTAAGCACCAGCTGCGGGACCAGCCACATCGCTGACATGGATGAGATCGTGCCGCCCTTTGGAGCGATCCCAAGCCCTGGCTTCGTCGCCGCGATGTGCTTTCTGTACTCTTCCACCAACCCCGACACGATCTGTACAAGTATCGTATTGTGGTTTCAGTAATAAGACACATAAAGTATGTTAGTTTAGAGATTTCTACAATGCCTGGAAATAAAAGGTAACTTAAGTTTATTTTTTATCTGTTGTATCAGGTTTACAGGTCACATCACGTAAAATACAATATACATTTCGTAATGGCACGTGACGTATGTTATCTTAGATAACAGTTGTAAAAGGGTATTACAGTAGTCTTATGTAATGGATGGTCCTTTTAGGTAATGAATGTTAACCTTGCGTTATGTAAAGTGCTAAGTCATTACGGGAGTTTTATGTAACGCTTTTGATTAACTGTTACATTAGAAACAATAATTTTTATTTCGTAATATTTACGTAATGGATGTGCATTTACGGAACCGTTGTATAAGATCAATAAGTAATGATCTGTAGCATCAGTTACCATTGTTTCGTTAATCAATGGTCCGAATTGATTGTAATATATTTAGATTTAATGCGAGTTATCTAACTTAAAATTATAGCCAAATCAATAAGGTATTATATCAAAGTTTGGATTACTCACCATGCAAAAGATGCCGAGGATGAGGCCGATCCCCATGCGCTGAAGCATCGTGATGCCGCCTTCTTTACCAGTAACCTTCTCGAGGTAAGGGACGATGATCCGGTCGTATACCGGAATCCACAAGGTCAGAGCCAGCATGGTGAAAATAATGTACGTGGCCGCGGGTACACGAAACGTCCCCGAGGTCGATAACCGCCTGTCGGATTGTAACGCTTGGAACACTCCGTACGTCTGCTGTTGCATTATGGCGATGTGAAACAAAATGGCAGTCGACCACACGGGGATAATTCTAACCACGCATTTCACTTCCTCGACTTGTTGCACGCTGCAGAGCCTCCACGGCTGTTTCGGTGAGCCCTCGGGGTTGAACTCGTCACGTCCCGTGACGATTGCTGCTTTGTCGAGACACTTGAATTGCGTGGTATGCCCTAGCTTGGAGTTCAAAGACTTGACCGGCAAATAATTGAAGAGTTCGTCGACGTGGGGATTTTCAGTTGATTTCAAGGTTCGCTTTCTGGAAGCAGCGACGAGAACCTGAGCCACGCTGGTCAACGGGCTGCCCTGAGGTTTGACGATGACGTACATTGTCGTGCCCCAGAAGAAGACCGCGCACGAGAGGAACATGAGGAAGGCGGGGATTCCGAGGCCGATGGCCCAGCTGACGTCGGACTGGACGTAGACGATGCCGGTGACGGAGACCATGACGGCGAACGTGTAGGTGAAGTAGTACCAGTTGAAGAAGCTGTTGGTTCCTTTTCGGCCCGATTCGGTTTTCGGGTTGAATTGGTCGGCGCCGAAGGTTAGGTTGCATGGGCGGATGCCGCCGGCGCCGATGACTAGGAATATGAAGGAGCTTATTAGGAAGGTGAACTGGGCGGCGGTTGGTTTGGAGCATGGTTGGCCGGGGACGCATTTTGGTGGGTGGAGGACCGGGGCTAAGATCTGGTGACTAAGGGGACCCCCTTAGTCACATGGCTAAGTAAATCTCCACCATTGCACCTCATTAAAATCCAAGGGCTCTTATTAATCCAATTTAATGAAGGGCAATGTAGTAATTGCATAGTTATTTTTAATTTTTAATTATAAAAGAAATAAAAAAAACTAACCCAGCCGTCCGTCTCTTCCCGTCGCCTCCCATCTCCGTTCCAATAATTGCGCCGCCGGCAACTTGGTCTGGGCGCCATTATTTCCCACCACAGTCCACAGAGAGAGGGGCGCCATTAATTCCCCAACCTGCGCCATTGAGAGAGAGAGAGAGAGAGAGAGAGAGAGAGAGAGCTTTTCCGGCGACGGCGGAGCAATTTTCCGGCGACCAGAGACGGTGGTGGATGGTTTTCCGACAACAGTATTTGAGTTCGTGATGTTTGTAATGTTTATATTACTATTTTGTATACATTGTAATGTTTGTAATGTTAGTAATGTTTGTTTGTCTAGTTTGTATACATTGTAATGTTTGTAATGTTAGTAATGTTTGTTTGTCTAGTTTGTATACTTTATGTTATGATTTATACACTTTCTATTCATTGATTTGTATTTGTAACTTTTGTTATTCAAGTTTGTATACTTTTATGTTATGATTTGTATACTTTGTATTCATTTGTTTGTAATACAAGTTTACCAATCTGTATTGTAAGTAGTGATATTCTGTACGTGTAGTATGCTTTGTACTGTTTGTAATGTTTGTTTGTAATGTTTGTAATGTTTGTTTGCAATGTTTGTAATGTTTGTTATTTTGTAATGTTTGTTGGTTTCTTTTGTACTGTTTGTAATGTTTGTTATTTTTGTCCACATTTTTGTCAACCATGTTTGTAATGTTTTTTGCATCACAAATCAATACATATAAAGTATACAAATTATTAGTACTTACAATACAAAGCGAAACATACTAAAAATACAAGCAAAACATACTAAGAATACAAACTGTCAAAGAAAAACATACTAAGAATACAAACTGTAAAAGAAAAACATACTAAGAATACAAACTGTCAAAGAAAAACATACTAAGAGTACAAACTGTCAAAGAAAAACATACTAAGAGTACAAACTGTCAAAGAAAAACATACAAACCATACTGACATTTTGTACAAAAATACTAACAATACAAACTAATGTTACAAAACATACAAACTATACAAATCACTGTTCTTCCTTCAGACGACTCTCTCTCCACCGCTGCCGCCGCCGTCGACTCTCTCTCCACCGCTGCCGCCGCTGATTCAATCTACTGCCATCGCAACCTCTCTCTCTCTCTCCATCGTCGCGCCGCCTCTCTCTCCTCCATCGTCGCGCCGCCTCTCTCTCCTCCATTGTCGTCGGCGCTCTCTCTCCGCCATTGCCTTCGCCTCCGTCGCGATCTCCTTTCCCTCTTTCCATCGTCGCCGTCGCCGTCGCTGTCGCCGTCGCCGTCGCTGTCGTGGTCGAGGTCTCCTTTCTCTCTCTCCATCGTCGCCGCCGGTCGCCTCTTTTCCATCGTCGCCTCTTCATCCCGTGGCTGGCAGCGCAGAAGAGAAGGTGGAGAATTTTTTTTTTTTTTGAATTTTTCCTAATTCCAGAATTGCCCTTCTTATTAATAAAATAGTCCTTCCATTTTCTACACCATTAGATTGATCCAAGGGCTGAGGGGGGCTTAGCCAAGTGACTAAGCACCCCCCCTTAGTCACCAGATCCGGACTCTGGAGGACCGGGATTGCGGCGGTTAGCATTAGAACTAGCATTCCCTGTAATTAAGCCCAAAAGCATAAAAGTGTTAATTACCATGAGAAGTAAAAAAAACACATAGAATAAAAGAGAAACTAAATATTGTATAAGATTGCTGAAAATACTAATTATTATTAAATAATATGATACGAACAATTAAAATTTATATAATAATATAACATTTGAACTCAAACTGAACTGATTGATGATTTACAATTTCTGGAGCTCATGAGCTCATTCATGAGTGGAGTTCGAGCCAAACTCAAACTAATTAATTAATTTATCAGTAAAACAAGTTAAACTCGAGTTCGACTCAAATATTAATAAATTGAACTTAACCTAAATCAAAACTCGGATTGGCTCGACTCGACTCTTACAACCTTAACAAAGACTACTAGCTAGTACCTAGTAGTGCCCAGACAAAATAGCTATAGACAAAAAAACCTTAATCAGACAGGTCTGAAACTGGAACTACCATAGAAAGAGAAAGCATTATACTATGGCACCAAACCCATCAATCAACGGTTCTCCTCCTTTGACTATTGAGCTCATAAATCAACAACTAGGATCGCTAGGGACAAAATTCACATATAATTATTGTAGGACGGTGATCAAGTTGCCATGGGCCATGGCCCCTCATGCATGGGATCGTTGACCGATTTGCCAACCGATGTTTTTGTCCCTAGTCACCAACTAGCAAAAATGCAGATTGATCAACGTAATTAAGATCGATTTGGGCGTACGTAATTAAATATAATTAAGTGGTTAATTAATTACCAAGACGGAGGACACAGAAGCGAAGGCGAGGCAGTTGTATCTGCCGAAGTAAGTGTCGCAGAGGAAAGCGCCGACGAGAGTGGCCAAGTTGCAGGTGCCGTTGAAGACGTTGATGAGCGTGGTGGCGGAGACGCTGCTCATGTTGAAGACGGACGTCAAGTACACTATCAGGTTCGACGCCGACCCCACCGTCCCCAGCTTCTCGAACGTCTCGTTCCCTTCACCACCATATAATAATACCGTATGAAACACCAGGGAATAAATTAAGTTAATAGAGTGAATTGACAAGAACCAACTGACGAATATCTGCATTTCTAGTCCTTGTAATATGTCGTTTTATCCAACACCTCCTGAAATTGTACTCTAAACAAAAGATATGATTTATCTTTCTGTACGTATATCCAATTTTAGTTGAGAAATTGCAATCTGTTTTCTCGTCGACTAAGTTCTGATCATTGCTCTCTTTCGGGTAGCATAATTTGTCTCATCAATTCAACTTGCAACTCAAAGCAAATTTTGGTCTACTCTTTTCGGTTTGAATTAATTATCCTAAACAGGAGATGAACCCAAAAAAGGATGCTTCTTTGCGCTTTACCGATTATGTCTTAATTCTATTAATAATCAATTTGAACCATTATTTCAATTCGAAGACTAAAAATGGATAAATGAGACTATACACAAACTTGATTGTTGAAATTCACAATATAGTGTAAAATTAACGTATTTGTTAATCATCCTACGCACTAAAAACTTTTTCTTTTTGGATCAACCAAATCACAGAGAGCGAAAAGCAAGCAACCGAAAGAAAATCTAGATTGGAAAAAACGAGTTAACCAAAGGCGAGCAGTATTAATTAAGGCAACTCCAGATTTGATATGGTGGGAAGGATATCATACCAATGATGTAAGGCATAGCCTTAATTCCTCTGTAGTTGACTGCTGGCTCCTCATCTTCTTCTTGGTGGTGATGACCATTTGAGAACTCCTCCTCATCCTCTTTCTTCCTGTTCCTGGTCTCCTCCATTGGCGAGAGAGTTTCAGTTTCAAATCAACTTTGTATCTCTCTCTCTCTCTCTCTCTCTCTCTGAACAAAGGGAAGTGTGAAGTAGTAGATATTTATAATATAGTTTCAAGGAGGAAGAAGATAACAGTATACATTGACTCGTTGAGCATCTATGCATGACGCCGCCCGCCTAATAGGCCAATTAACCAATCATATTGCCGGCAGACGTTAAACGGAGCATTATAGTAAATAAATGAACCCAAGATGTACACGTATGTGCTAACAGTAATAAATTAATGATTATTATTGTTAAATTTTATTATTTGATTATAGTTGTAGCAGTGACAGGTTATGGGAATCTATTGTTGAGACTTGAGAGGTTGAATAGTCAATTGATTAATATATTACATATTACATATACCCAACTTGGGTCTTTTCTGATAAACATTGAGGTTTGGCTTACATATTACACATACCCAACTTGGGTTTTTTCTGATAAATATTGAGGTTTGGCAGCCAAACCTCAATGTGTATTAGGAAAGGTGGCCCGATATCACACCACTGTCTTATGAATGTATGATATTAAAATATTACGGGGTTTCTACCAATAAAACAATATTACGGAGATCATAGCATACTCGAAACATAGTTAATAAAATATGGTACATAAAAGTTACATATAAAATACATAAGGATATTTTATTTTTTCTCTAACCTAATGTTATTTTTAATATTACGTTAATAGTAATAAATAAATATATGATTAATTATTTAAAAATAAATAAATATATAAAAAATTGTAAAGTTAACAATTTCTATTCATTAAATACGGTATTAAACGTGTTATACGGGTTTTAAACGTGTTAACAATTTCCATTCATTAAATATATGAACAATTGTAAAATTAACAATGGTAAAGTTAACAATTTCTATTCATTAAATACGTAAGTAAGGGGTACACGTACCTTAATAACACTTCAGAGCTATGCGTTAGTTATGGAACTCTGGCACTTTGGCATAGCTATGCTCCATGTCTTTCCCCCCACTTGACATATATACACATTTGCAAATACATACGATCCATTCAATTTACTCTACTCCTATGTACACCATACGTATAGGTTTGTCCAACCTCACAAAGGATAAGTTGGAGCCATTTACTTTGTTGACAATACAAGAAGAAGAAGAGTGGAAAAACAATGATGGTGGCTTGGAAGTTGGAACCCCACTACTCCGATCTCCCCTAGTCCTTCCATTCCTCTCTATAGTTCGAGAATGTGATGCAGAAGGCTGCAATAATCAGAGAGAAGGCATTATATCTCCTCACGCAAGCAAATATATGGAGAGAAAATAAAGGGTTCATCGAATAAGATGATGAACAAGGGGGAAAAAATCTTTGACCCTAGCTCATCTTTTGTTTTTATCATTCAAAATTGAGCAAGGGTAAAGTGGTCACAGAGTGGAGAGTTGTTGTAATTTCCCATTTTAAAGGTTGATATTTTTAAATCAATTTCACAGTATCTTTTAAATTCTAGGGCACATAAAATCCACATAAAAATATGTAGCCAAATAAGAGATTTTCATAATTTTTGAAAATAATATACTTGGTAGTAGATTTTGACCAAGAATCCACTACTAAAAAAAATCCCACTTAAACGACCCGTCACTATAAATTTAGAAAGTTTTGCAGTGAAAATTTTAAAAAGTACATCAAATTTCAAGTGGTTCCACAATTCATAACAAAGTTCGTATTACTAGATATAAAGTCTTTCAATCCTACAAGTGAGGCTATCAATTTTGGCTTGCAAACTTGATAGCCATCATCAATATCTAAAACTACTTAGAAGTTGTTTATGGATTTGAGTCATGGATTTGTGATCCAAAATTCAACCCATGTACTTGTACTAAACCCCAAGTTATTTCTTGTTCGTTTGATGGATGTCAAATCCATGGAATTTACATATTTGAGGTAGCTATGTTGATTATGTGTGGTTCAGGTTGATGGAAAAGGAACGATGGAAGTTTTATGTTGATTATGTGTGGTTCAGGTTGATGGAAAAGGAATGATGGAAGTTTTATGTTGATTATGTGTGGTTTAGGTTGATTAAGTAGCACCTATTTACAAAAATAAACATATATCGCCATTATAAAAAAATTAGCAGGAGGAACGTTGAGTTTAAGTTGGCGATTCCTTTTGATAATTAAGGTGTTTCAAATGTGTTATGTTCCGTTATGTGATGGTAATACCATAAATTACCATTTAACGTGATAAATCCATTATTCTAAAATTCATAAACATATTCAACAAGCAAATAACGAAATTTTGAAATCCATAATGGACCAAATCCATCATTAATCTTGGATTTTCCAAAACCTTCTTTTTAGTAAAAAAAAAATCTCTTTTTTTTTTTTTCAAATCCAACCAACAAATGATCTCTTTATAATAGGATAAAATTGCAAAAGAACATAACGATACTCATGCCTTTCCTTTCTTATTCAACTCTTACAAGTTACAACTCCACACACACCGAAATCCCCTGCTTCTTTCAAACATTCCCTTCTAAATCAATCTCCCCGCCTAACCTCTTCAAATCACCCTTATAAGTATACCACCTCGCACACACCAAGAAATACACAAAATTCACCACTCCCAACCCACCAATCACAAAATAAAACCAATCTAGCTTCCCCTTATTCAAATCATCCGCCAACCAGTCCCCACCTTCATTCCCTTCACTTACCTTATGCACAACATAAACCAAAAACCCACTCAAATAGTTCGACAAAGCATATGCAACAAAGAAAAACGACTGTGCGATGCTGCTCATGTTCTCTGGAAACTGCTTGTAGTAAAACTCGATCTGCGCAATGTAGCCAAATGCCTCGGCTAGTCCTGCCAGCATCAGTTGTGGGATTAACCACATGCTCGACATGGTGGAGACTTCTCCACCTTGTGGGGTAACCCCCAAAGTAGGCGAAGCTCGAGTCATGTGCTTCCTCTCCACTTCGACCACGCCCGAAACCAAGGCACACGCGATGGCTAGCACCATCCCAATCCCCATCCTTTGGAGAAGGGTCAACCCACCACCACCTTCTTTGTGGTGGGTTATTTTCTCGAGGTAAGGGACCAAGATGCGGTCGTAGATTGGGATCCATATGGTTAGGGTTACCATGGTGAAGAGGACGTATGTCGCTGCGGGGATTTGGAAATGGCCGAGTTGTCTGTCAGATTGAAGGGCTTGGAAGACTGCATAGGTTTGTTGTTGCAAGAGAGGAACGTTGGAGATTATGGTGGATGCCCATATGGGGAGGATTCGGACTATGCACTTCACTTCTTCAACTTGTTGCATGCTGCAGAGTCTCCATGGTTTGTTGGGCGAGCCATTTGGGTTGATCTTGTCACTGTCTGTGACGATTACAGCTTTATCCAGACACCTGGTAGTGATACATGTTGTTAGAATTAAATGGGAAATCGACAATGTTACAAAATAACGAACACATATTTACGTTGTTTACTGACGTGTGTCAGCTAATCCACAAGAAGGAGAGACAAGTTTCACTACACTTGAGAAGATACTGATTACAAAAATTGAGAAGATATATATAGCACATTCTCTAGACAGTCTAACTCTAATCCAACCTAGAAAAGAAAAAGGTTAGAGACCAGACCCAATGGGAGCAAAACAAATGTGTATAAGCCCATACACTATGGAAGTCAGTAAGATCTCGTGACTTCGTGTAAACGAAAGATAATCCAACCTTAACCTGTATTTTAAGAATGCATGGATTCAAGATATTTGCACGTACATTGACACTTAGGATCCATATCCATGAATCCAATCCAATCTATCCACCAAAATATCCACATAATCCAATCCATATTAATCCATGGATCCAAATGACAAATTACGGTTTGTGCTTATACTTTTTATATTTAACATTTTGATACCTACAATTTATTTTCATATGAAAAATATCATTGCAAAATTACGTTTTGGTACTTAAAATTTTTTTAGATGATAATATATTAAGTAAAAGGTAAGAAAAGGAAGAAAAGTGCAGCAGGTAAATGACAGATAATCTGACTTCAAACCGTAGAAACACAGAAAATGCATGTATTCAAGATAATTGCAAGTATTGTATTAAGGTTTGGAGTTCTGTTTCAAATTCGTACCTGAACTGGGATGTACGAGGAAGCCTGGAGTTAATCGATTTAGGAGGATGATAGTCAAAAAGCGGAGCCCCACTATCTTCAGGCAACTCCAGAGACCTCTTCCTTAAAGCAGCAACAAGCACTTGCGCTACACTCGTCAACGGGCTCCCCTGTGGCTTAACAATAACATAAATTCTAGTACCCCAAAAGAAGAGGGCACAAGATATGAACATTAGGAAAGCAGGAATGGCCAGCCCTATCGACCAGCTGATGTTTGACTGAACGTAGACAATCCCTGTAACAGATACCATCACGGCGGCGGCATAGGTGCAGTAGTACCAATTGAAGAAGCTGGAAGTCCCTCTCTTACCGGATTCGGATCTCGGGTCGAACTGGTCGGCCCCGAAGGCCAGGTTGCATGGCCGGATCCCGCCGGCGCCGATGACTAGGCAGAGGAAGGAAGCTAGTAGGAAGGTGAACTGCCAGGGTGTTGGCGGAGAGCAAGTTGTTGCGGCGCAGTGAGGTGGGTGTGCGTTTGGGATTGCCGCGGTTAGCATTAGAATTAGCATGCCCTGCATGAGTACATTAAACATGTTATGGCTTGAAAATTTATGGTTTTGAATTTTTTTTTTTTATTTCGGAATGTTTGATTTAGGATGGATTGTGTTCATATTGCAATTATGGAATTAAGACAAATTTACTTTGGTATCCTCATCACGATTCCAACTCTAATTTATTGTGCCTGTAGATTGATGAGGGCAAAATAGGAATAACACAACTAATATAAGATTAAGGGTCATTGTACATCATGTGGTCTTGCCTTAATAGGTGGATTCTCCAAATCCATTAGTTCCAAGAATTTTCCCCCCGAATTTGTGAATTCTACTAAATCCGCACCTCATATACTAGACAAAAAAATATTGGGTTTGTTTACACCCCACATAGCATAATCCAACATCTAAACCTCTCATACTACTAAGAAATTTAAAGAGTGGATAATTTTCCCCCCTTTTATAGTAGATCACATTCATCAAGACAGACATAGATATTCATCCGTCGTCTTTTTGAAATGAATTTTGGTTGTGGATTGTTGCCCTAAATCTATCAACAAGTAGATCTGTTTAGAGTAGTTTACCTGAATTTGTCTTTTCTAATGGTGGATTGTAAGGTTGAGATTTAATATAGGTGTTTAAAATATCACATATATGAGGTGATATTGCAAAAACTAATTTGTCCTTACCCTTATTCACAAATTCCATAATTTGATGATATATTATTACCAAGTACAATAAGATATTTTAGTCTAACTTTTAAAATCTATCGCCATAATCCACATATAAAAAATGTTCCATCGAAAAGTAACATTTTATCCACCACCCACAAATATTTCAAAAGATATCTACTTTAAAAACATTTTGTTCTTTTACAATCTACCACTTTCAAGCTTCCACAGTCCACTTGCCAGAGGACCCTTGAATTGACATATCACAATAATTGCAACGCAAGTATTTGTGTATCCATATATAAGATAGCTGAGATATACGAGATGACTTGCTAAATTGGGATGATAAAAGGTTTCTACTGTACTACTTAATTACAATCTACAAGTGAATCTATTTAACTTATTCATACAACCTACTTCTTGACTTCTACAGTACTATACATCAATGGAGACTGGAGACTGGAGAGAGGCTAGAATGTAAGCAGCCCGGTAGAGTGTTTTGGAAGGTGCAAAATTAGTACGTACCAATAAGGAGCAAATAGAGGCAAAGCCCAAGCACTTGTATCTGCCAAAATATGCATCACAGAGGAAAGCTCCAACAAGAGTAGCCAAGTTGCAGGTGCCATTGAAGACGTTAATAAGAGTGGCAGCCGTGACACTCTTCATGTTGAAAACCGTCGTCAGGTACACTACCAGGTTCGTCGCCGAACCAACCGTCCCAAGCTTCTCAAACGTCTCATTTCCTGGTCACAATAAAAATAACCACGGGAAAGCTGGTTACAAATAAAAAACCTTTAGCGACGAATTTGTTTTATCATCATTTGGTCGCCAAAAAAAGACTATAGAAGTTAGTAGTGTATTTACCGATGATATAAGGCATAGCCTTGATGCCTCTGTAGTTAGGAACCGGCTCGTCCTCATCACCATGAAGGGAATTGAACCTCTCTTCCTTGTGATGATCAGTTATCTTCTCCATGGAGCTCGACATTGATGGATGGGAAAAAGGCCTATTTTTCCCCCCTGTTTCTGAGTACTCTGGTCCTTGGCCGCCTATATATAGAGTTCGATCGTATGGTGAGAGAAAAATAAAACAGAATAATTGTGTGGAAAGCAACCTTGATATCATATATTATTGTGCTTTTGGAATATTTTCCAACTGTTAATAAGAACCAACATTTTATATGAATTAATTCTGATCTTTTCAAAATGTAGGGTAGGGAATTGAATTATTTACATTCCCAAAAGAAGATGGGGACAATTTAGAGAGTACAGTACAGATTGGTGGGATTTTTCGCTTTTCTGAATTCTGTGGAGGATAACCCTAATCTTTCAACAGTGGAGAATATGGAGGTGAAAGGGATAGAGGATAGTGGCAACTAAACTATATTGGCCCCGCGAAATTTATCTCATTACAGTTGTGACTTGTGCGCACCATAAATTGGACTCTCTACATTAAATCAAGACTGGAGTAGTTGTGCTTAGTTAATTTGTACTTAAAAACTTTTCAAACAGGACAAGTCATCAAAACAAAACAAAACAAAACTCGATAATAAATCCATAAGCAAACTCTTCTTTGTTTCAACACATGATCTCATGACATTTCTTTGTTTTTAATAAATAGAAGAAACGTGACCAAGATTGTTAAACCGGTTATACTTTTATGCCGGTTCACAAGTGAAATGGTCCAACGAAGAAATAATCAGTTTATATGTCAATTTTTATAAAAACATACGAGGATGTGGGAAACATTAACACCAAATGAATTGTGTGTTACTATAATTTATATTAAGATAATCTACTACAATCTTCATCCATTTTTAAATAAAATACTACATTACAAACAAAAGATAAATCAACATATGTAAATGCACTATTTAACACAATCATCCAAACGTTTATAATTGTAAATAAATAGCATCAATATCTAAATGTTCATATTTGAATCCAACAAACTACTTTTTTTGGTTAGTTAATTCCACTAAAACGATGTCATTTCATTTAGATGTCGCAAATTGGTTGTTGCAGTCGATCAGTCTTTTCTCAGTTTGGATCATTTACCGATTTGACTATATGACTTCATAGTGGTGGCTTTCCATCTAAATTTTTATCTAATACCAGCTTATTGAACTCAATTGTATCGGCCGACATACCAGTATTTTGACAACATGAACGTGACCAAAATTAAATCATTTCTTTATGAAGGCATGCCAACTGTCGACATGCAGATGTTGAATGGGGAATCTTGAGGCTTTTTTATAATTTGTCGGTGTGAGGAGATTGAGGTATCTTGAGGCTTCACTAATAAGTTATTAACTTAATGGTGTTTTGAGTATTAATAATTATTCATTTTAGTTCTTTGTAAAAATAAAATGAATAAGATCTCTGCAGGTTAAACCAATGGGATTGAGTTGGTTGTTATGTACTTATGTCAACAAGTCGTATTCAGTGAGATATCATGCCTTATTAACCCACTAATCAGATGGATCTTTTTATAGTAATTTCAATCAAGATTAATTTAGGTGACTTGATAACCTAAAAATTTAAAATTGCTAATAACTAATCTAGACCATGGATTAAAAAACATGTAATATGGTGATTGGTCATCCCAATTTCATTCCATTCTAACCTATTATTTTTTTCAAAAAAGTATGTTAATTTCTTCTGTTTGAATCTCCAAATAGTTGAATTTATATCTCAAATGCGAAAAAGAAAGAAAAATGTGGTATATTATGGGATTATGTTGGTGGTCACTACGTCATATAGGCTAATTAAATATATCTGACCATAAATAAATCATTTTGGTGACTACCGTTTTACACATCTCAAAGTTTAATGAACACTTTGTAACACTTGGCTCTCTCCTTTTTTTCCTTTTTATTTATTTATTTGTGGTTTGGCTCTCTTCATTTGGGCTTACTGTAACTCTTAAGTGAGTTTCCCCAACATGAAACAGAGCTGACAGTAAATACACAGGAGAGGTACTTTTCTATCAAGTTGTTCATGAGTTGATATGAGCCTGCATCATGTCATGTCTCTCCTTCTTTGCATCTTCCAGCAGCTCCCAATAATATACCCCAAAAAAAGGAAATCAGAAAGGACGATCGAATTAGCTGTAGTGAGGTTGTTGGCTGGGGAACACTGATGAGAAAATGGCTGCTTTCTAAGGCAGTAACACGTTCTGATAGAGAGGCCTCTATATGTATGGCCACTGTCCTCCCGCAGTAACCAACGGCAGCAGAATCACACACTGTGCTGCTACTACCATTACCAATCAAACTAGTGATATGTAGTCGTCTCGTCACTGAAAACCAAATGCAGCCACTTAATGCCAGGGAAGAAGATGGGTTGTAATTGCCCATTATCGTATTGGATTGTCAACAGAGCTATAGCAACCAGAACTTTATGGGATATGCTCATTAGCCATCACCCATCAGCAATTGGGCAACTCTTTCTTTCTTTCTTTGTGGGTTTACGGGCCCATTTGCCTGTGACCCTGTCCATCCTGCATTTCCCAATTTGGCTTTCGGCCCAATGTCTAATCATTGCCGGAAGAGAATAATTGAATGGTGTTTTTGCCTCTCGTCAGTGAGTGATTTGTGAGTGAGATGAATGATTGTCAAGTATGCTCGAGGTGAGAAAAATGAGCGGTTGTGGTGTGTGTGAATTACAAAGACTTAACACACAATCATCGACAAATTTAAGAGTTTTTTTCTATTTATTCTGTGTTAGAAATAGCTTAACAAGATTACAGAGTCTCCAAGTTTCACTGGCTATTACAAATGCTAATCGCTGTAGGCTGTAGCTTAACGGCTAACCCTCCATTCACAAACGACATTGTTCTTATCAAAAAGCGGAAGCAAAACAAACAAACGAAACTCGAAACGTTCAGGCGGGTAAACCCTCTTCTTCTTCTTCTTCTTCAATCCTTCTCCCACAAGGACTGCAAAATGTCTGAGTTCTTCTCCAATCCTGCTGATAAAGTTCGTGAATTCCACGCTATTCAACTGTAAAAGCGCTTTGAGAAAGCTACTGGAATGGAACAGGCGCGCCTTGCTTCTTGTTCACTATTGCCATTGCCAGGTACCTCGTACCCATCCCGACTGGTGCTAGTTCATCTGGCCCTTCCCAGAACGGGGCTTCCCCTTCACCTACAAGGCGCCAGTATCCTGTTCTTAAGGAATCAGCTTGTTCGTCTGTGCAGTTCTCTAGTAATGCTTCCACTCGGAAGTTTATCCCCAGTAAACCAAGTAACTGAGACTGAGTAAGAGGGCCATGGACAGCTACATTGTCTGGCAACAACGATCTAACCTATTAGTTCGAGTTACTTTTCTCCAAAAAAAAAAAGTTCGAGTTACTGATGACAAGCTTAACACGAGAATAACAAAAGGCGGGAATACCTGAAGCTTCCTCTGCGGTGTGCTTGAGGGAAGGAAAATCGACATAAGCACTGAGATCAGCAGACCCAGGGTCGTCAAGGATGCTGACAAACTTATGCTTCCGGATCGCCTACATGCAAAAAATTGAACGAGATTTGGACAAACAAGCTGGACAAGTTCTAAGATAATTGAAATAGCAATGGTGAGAGAACACACCTGCAGACTATCTGAGATCACTCCGTTGAGGCCGTAGTCAATTATGAGGGCACCACCTCCATCAGAACTTATTCTCTGTGCAATTGTATGAGTCAGATCAATTGCCTTTGGGCAAATCTCAATTTGTTTAAGACTCTCTACTTCTTTCTCAGTGGCCCACTTGCATCGCTTCATTAGGTAAAGAGTGGCTGGTGTTGGCTGAGGGGACAGAACAAAGCGCAACCTAATTGAGTGCAGTAGAAATTAGGAATCATCAAGCTGTACTAATCACACAGTTCAGAAAACCTAACAGTGCTTCTGGATGCAACTAAAGAGGAAAGCTTACTTTGAATCTTCTCCCACGTCAACCATTTTCTCAGACCAGCCACGAGAAGACCTCTGCAGAACATCAAATTATCGGATGGTCAGAAAAGTATTTTGATCCTCCAAAACCATCCAAATGCTCAGTTGAACAAGGGAGCAGCCAAATTTACAAACCTGAAACTGGTGAATAGGTAGAGCATCATAGAACTCGTGCGCAAGGATGATTGTTGGTGCTGGAACATTACCAAATAAAGCAAATATAATCGGCAATCAAAGCTTTCCGTGGAAGAACGAGGTAGATCATATTTTTATGCTGCCGGTGGCAATTGAAACGGAACTTAGTACTATAAGATAAGTTCATACATCCAGATGGCACCTGCTCTAGTGAAGAATACCATGTTACAGGACTTCCTGTGATCGATGTAACTGAGCTTTTTTCTCCATTTTCATCTGCATTGCCAACTTTCTCACATTTTAGGTTCTGATGCTGAAGCTTCTGTAACACTGGACTGCACTCTACCATGTGAATATGCATCGAGTCCGTGAAGCTCTTGAATTTTGCTGTGCCCTGAGAGGTATTTAATAAGACTATCTCATTTAGAACAATATGTTGGTTCTTTCTGCATGTTTCCTTCCTTAAAAAAAAAAAGAGTTCACCAGTATACATGATTTGAAAATGAATAGCTTACCCGCAAAAGATCAGCCATGAGAGTTCCTCTTCCTGGTCCCAGTTCAACTAAGTTCACTTTCTTGGGTTGTCCCATTTGTTCCCACAAACACATAACCCAGACACCAATCATCTAATATCTCATCAGAGAAGCAAATAAGCAAAGGCTTTAGCCACAGAGGTAGCCAACTAACCCATGTCATACCAATGAACAATACCAACATTGAACGACATGAACTAGAATATTAGGACCCAAACTTAAGGAAGTACTACCTCCCCAAACATCTGGCTGACTTCAGGAGAGGTTATGAAATCACCCTCTGCTCCAAATACATCTCGGTTGATATAGAAGCCAAATTTAGGGTTCGTCAAAACTTCTTCCATATACTCTGCCACTGAGATTGGTCCGCCTCTAAACTGAAAGCCATAAGTCGTCGAAGAATCAAGAAGTATG